ACATGGTAGAACTTACTCTGCGGTGCAATAAATCATTTTGGCAACTTAATTATACAGTTTACAGGTTAAAGAAAACCAAAAGGAAAAGTACTGAAGTAGTTCTAAGTTGGACATATGAGTTATTGCTTGTTACTCGACTATTAGCACTCAATGAGGGGAAAAAGTGCTCTTACAACTAGGATTTGTTTTCTGAACAGATCTTCTATACAGATATAATTTGCTAAGCATATCTACGAAAGTCATCCTTCATGAAATTAGTCAAGGTTGAAGTATATGAATTTCCTACAACATTGCAGTACTCTTTCCACCACAGCATGAAGCTGCTTTGAGGCAAGAAAATCTCAGGAGATACCAAGAAGTTATTAATCACGTCCATTACATACTGCTCAAATTTGATCAGGTTTTCTCTAGCTGATTCTTGGTCCCCTATGCTACTTTGTCCACTCTTCAACACTTCACAAGAAATCACAGCTTCCTCAACATAAGCCCAAAAGCAAGAATCAACCGTAAGACTAGAGGCTTGACTTCTCCGGTATGTATAAAGATTTTCGTCAGTTGACCATTCCTCCAATAGTTTGTAGTGTTTAGATCTTCCATGACTTATATAATCTTTCTTTCCCCTACCATAATACTCTGCTATGTCGAGTGGTTCAACCATCCTTCGGTAGTTTGTTCCTGCATAAAGCCAACGCTTACGTAGATTTCTCCCCTCTTTCCAGGGCATCTTTTCTACTTCAGCTACCATTCTTTTCCAGAACAGCTTCAAAGTTCTGTGATGCTTGATAAGCTGTTCTGTGCTTTCAATCTCGTCTCTGCTTCTAGAACGTCTGAGCTTATATTTGTCATAATACCCAGCCTCTTCCAAAGAGTTCTTCATGTACCATTCCAGGTAAGACATGGACTTTTTAAGTGTACTTAGTTTCTTGGAAGGATCAAAAACATTTTGCCTGTGTTTAGCCTGAACCTCTGCCCTTTTCGCAATATCCATTGCAAGATAGCTCATGTCAACACCTTCCTGCTGCAGTTGCAGTTAGAGGCAAAAATATAAAATTTGGAGACCAGAAAGAAAAAAAAAGGACTACTAAAAAAGGAATAAACTATTCAGGAGTGTTATAGCCCATTTAATCAAGAAACACAATTTTTTGCCTTAAGTTAATTTCATGTCCACAGCTTTCCTAGCCCACCAACAAACATAGCCTTATTCCCTCATCAATGCTTCAACAGAGTTCTTTCTTCACAACTTGTATATGTACCTGAATGACTCAAAACTGTTTTTATCTTTCCTCAATTCATACTGTACTTCAGTAGGATGTTAATACTCATGCTCGTGATCCATCAAAGTGGAACAACACAATTTGAACAATTAGCAATTGAGTGTATTTACCTGTAACTTACCAACTCCAGCTGCTTCTAGCAATAGGTAGGTTCCTGCTTGAAGTGGATTGCCTATTGAGTCAGGCAGTTCTACGATTCCCCTGCAAATAGCTTTGCTCCTTAGA